CCCAAAGTAGTTCCCAGGAATTTTATTTATTTACTTGATCCATACCCCGCCTTTTCCCTGCAATGAAGATCCAAGGTGACTTACAGCATTCCCCTCTCCTCCACTCCATCCTCGCATCAGCCCTCTGAGGTGGGTTAGGCTGAGTGTGTGTGTGTGGGCCTGGTCCAAGGTCATCCAGGCAGAGTGGCAGTCTGAACCTGGGTCTCCCAGATCTTGGCCCAACTGCTACACCACTCTGATACTTGGGTACCTTGGTTTTGTGAGGGCATGATCCTTGGCTGAGCTGTACCCTGTCACAATTGGGCGGGGGGGATGTCTGCCTGATTCCTACCCTTCCTTCTGATGGCTCGGTTAGTGGTAGTTGAACGCTGGAGGAATGGGACTCTGACCTGGAGCTGGACTCGAGTATGCTAGGGAGGCTGGAACTCTGCCCCCTCCCCCCTTGACCTAATCAACAGCAGTTGGAAGCTCTTAAATATGTTTGTAAAACACCTACATCTCAACATTTATAATGGCACAAAATTTCTGGTAATATCAGAAAGTTGCTTGTTATGGCGGGGGGGGGAAATACTGTGCATCAGAAAATTGATGCCGTTTGCCATTTACTTGCCAAGGATGTGGTTCACCTTTAACTGCCTTTTTGTATTATTTCTTTGGGGCTTTGAACTTAATTACAGACTCCATGTCTAATACCCAATTGTCATGGGGATAGCAAAATCACATGGATAATTTTAGACAAATTTAAGTGCCATTTATTACAGGATCAAAGTGCAGTAGGAATGGGGGGGGGGCTACTGAAGGATCTGTTGTGAAAAACTATTGCATAAGGTTTTGTTATATTCTGTCCTTTCTTCCTGATGAATAGTCTACCACAAGAAACTTGAGGGATCTAGGGATTTGAATTAGCTACTTTATGAAATATGAGTTCAGTTAACCATAGATGTGTAGTCATGTTCTTTACGCAGTTTATAACATTCTCATTAGCTATATCATTGGCTGAGTAAATAGTCTCATTGAGGACCTGAGCTGTGCCTTGACAGCAATACAAGCACACCATTGCACAAGTTTCAAGTTGAAATGAAGATGTATTTTGCACTGATTTCATGTTTTAGCACAGCAGTGTGTGCAGTTTGTAATGCAGCAGATATTGGGAGACTTGGAGGAACTGGTGCCTTTGGAGCCCAGGAGGAGGAATTATCAGCTAGCTTCTCTCCCCTCGCCCATTTTTGCTTCCCCTGGTACCTTTTTGTTGTCATCCTGTGACGAGTGGAAAATGAAATATTTTCATATTATGGTATAAATACATAAAGCTGTTTCCGTGCTGAAGGAGTGTAGTAAGTGTACAGCAGAGGGAAATTTAGATGGGCACCAATGGGATTGCCTGAAAGAAGGAAAGTCCAAGGTGTGCAAGCCAGTAAATGGCAGGGACATACTATGAATTTGGGGTTAAACAGCTTGATCTGGGTAGGACAATGCAGTAGAGGCAATGACATCTGGAACATAGGGCAGGTATGCCCAGGTTCTTGACCACTAGTTGGATCTTTGCTGAATCCAGCACAGTGATCATTAGCCCTTTTGGAAAGGGGATAGGTTGGGCAGAACTGAGCACTGCAGACAAAAATCTTTTGTGTGAAGGAATTCTGCAGTGTCCTCAGAGACATCGGAGGCCAGTAGTCGCTTACTTGATTTCCACAGAGTTGAGATGATTATGTCATGAATGTCTTACAGCACATTGTTCGAAGGAGACGTTACCATGGAAAGGCAGTTCAGTGTGGTTGCAAATAGACTCACTCAGGGTTGTAGAGATTTCTTCAGTACTCTTATGCACTGAAGCTAGTAAGTGGAAAGTACCACTGCCTAGTAATTTTTACAGAAAATCAAACCTTTTTGTTATGTGAAGGGTATAATTTTCAGCCTTTTTTTTTGGCACATGTATTTGCTAGAACATCTGGCTTTTGGGACATGCATACAAAAAGTCAGAGACTATCTTGCATTGTGGTGGAAATGAAAAATGCCCATACTCTTGTGTTTAGGAGAACAAAACACAAAACTGGATGAAACCAGGTAAATTAACCCAGCGGTGTTTGATTCTCCCTCACTTCCATTAGGTTTCTAGTGTTATAATTTTGAAACATTTAAAAATCTGCACCTGCTATAATAGGGTTCTCTATAGGCATGGATGCTTTTTGTACTGCACAGTGACTTTGGTCTTCAATGCAGTGCTAGAGACAAATCACACAATGCTGAATCCATGCTGTGAGCACAGCTGTATGGTGAGGAGCACACTGTGAGAGAGCAAACTGCCGCTCCTTCCCTTCCCAGACATACATTTGCACTCTAAGGCAACATATGATTGTTCTGAGATTTCCCCCTCTAAAATGGCATGTAAAATACAACTTTTCTATGTGGGCCAACAGCATTTCAATGCCCTCTCATGTTTCTAATGGTGCTTTTTCTTTCAGAGTAGATTGCTTTCAAGTGTCTTAATAAATTGCTGTGAGAGTGTTTTCTCTAGAGCAAGTACAAACT